GTGATGATTCTGTGGTTGAATCCACAGCTTTCACACTTTATCCCAATCAGGTTTTACACGTTTGAAACTGCTGAGAAAATATGATCAGTCTTCTCTTGTCAAAGACATTTATTTGCATTCATGTAACGCAATTACAAGAAAATTGAGGTTCACAGAAAAATGCAATAAAAAAAAAAATCCCATAAGCAGACACTGTCCCTTGAACGTTTCAACAGGGATCACACTGGACCCATTTTTTCAGAGCAAGCAAGACCAGTTAAACAGTGGATAACTCAGAGGGGAGGTTGGAGTGGGACACAGGAGAGAAGGGTAGAAAAAAAGGACAATATAGGACAGAACACGTAGGAAGAGAAAGGTCACAACACAGGAGGATGATGATCTGCCACACCTTTGAGCTTACAAACCGGCAAACGGCAGCGAAGGGTTGAGCCCCGGAACTGCGCCGGGCACTCAGCACCGCAACACGCCACACCATGTCACCACCGCACTGCATCTTAACAGCTAACCAGCATTACTCAACTGCTACACAACTGCGCCTAGTGCACAAAAGATACACAAGAAAAGGGGTTAGAGTCATAGGAAGGTAACTTAAACCAGACCCAAAAAACAAATTAAAAGACAAGAGAAAAATTGCTTGATAAAGCAAACTAGATGGCTTTTTTTACGTTAAGCCATTTTCCCATAGACGGGCATTAAGAACTGAAAATACTCTGAACAATGAACATGGCATTTTCTCAAACCGCAAATAAAAACTTTCATAAAAAAAAAGTTTAAGCGAAGGGATCTCACTGAATGCAATCCATTTTAATCCAGAAGTACAAATTAGATAAAAATGAAAAGTAGTTAATTTGTGTACATTTTCTAAACAAATCCTCGTCAGTTTTACAAATGCCAAAATTACAGAACTCGTTTAGGCAGATTAGACAAATTAAAATATTTCAGACCAAGATCCAATAACCTTTCAGTCTGCATTCAGGAGTAATCGTAGGGTCCTCTTGCTCAGCGTGAGTCTGCTCCGGGTGTCTTCAGCAAAGGCTCAAAGCATCCGAGATCTGGATGGGAAGACAAAACTCAAGTTATCGAGAGTAAAAACTGAAGTCTGTATAAACACCCTGCAGCTGATCTGAATATTTAAATACACTACTGGTACAAATTGCCCTGACGCTAAACATTTAGAAAACAGGCTTCGTAAAATTAAGCAAATAATCTGCACATTTGTTTACACACCTTTCTTGGCCCAGGTCTCCCCAAACACTAGCTCCAAGAAGAGTGTTACACTCGGGGCATATTTAAAAAACAAACCTCGGGGTCGGCTCCCTCTGTGAGAGGCGGCGGAAACCACAGACATGGGCGGGGGGAAAACTGCTCAGCACATCTGCCTGTGGTCCCCGTGAACGTACCTCACCACACCACCTTTACACACCAACTGACAGCCCGAACCACCGCCATGACGACCTGCTCCATAGCAACCACCGTTGCCTTGGTGACCTGCTCCTTAGCAACTGCCATCTCTCAGCAACAGGCAGGTCACATGGGCGGGTCACACACTAACTGCTCTCACACTGCAACACCCCCATCTCCTCCTCTGTTTGCAAACAGGACTCAGCAGCTTGGAGGAAAGAATTCCACATTTAAGTGAACGGTTTGAGTGAGCATCCCACCTCCCCCCCACACATACAAGCACAAATGTGACTTTTAAACCCCCATTTTAAAAATCGATGGCACCGTCTGCTGCCTGTGTGTGCTTTACATTGACCAAAGAGACATGCAAAGTAAAGCATACACGAAGCTTAAATCGTTTTCTTGTTTTGGTCTAACTTAGACGCATTCTGCAGACTTTGACGCCTGAAGACAAGCAGAAAGGCTGCAGAACACAAAACTGAGACAAAACCAACAGTATAAACCACCCCCCTTCCCATGAATACCGTCAAGATGCGTCCAAGTTCGAGTTAAGGCTCTGTGTTGTTCTCTCCTGGTGACTTAGGCCCGCTCTTGGATTTGGACCTGGATCGGGACTTCGAACCTCTGTTGGAAGCTGGGGTTCTGCTCCTTGATTTGGACTTGGACCTGGAGCGGGACTTGGACCTGGAGCGAGACCTCGACCTGGAAGGAGTCTTGGACTTGTTTCGCCTCGGCGTTCTGGACTTGGACTTTGTCTTGGACCTCGACCTGGATCTGGAGTAAGAGCGGGATCTGGAGCGGCTGTAGCGGTTGCGGCTCCTGGATCGGGAACGGCTTCTGGAGCGACTGCGGCTTCGTCTGCGACGGCGGGGACTGTCTGAGCGACTGTAGAAACAAACAAACCACTTTAGACAAAATGTAAAACAGTTAATGATAAAACCACAGAAAGTGTATTACAGAATTCTTTATTCTTGCCGTCAACCTAAACAGCAGACTACATTGTTTTGTGGCAATATACCAGACCCCTGTAGGAATGTGCAATAGTAATAATAAAATGCATAAATTATGAGTATTGTGCCAATTTTAAAGGTTTTAAAAATTTATTAAGAGACCAATACTGTTTTGTTTTTTAGCTCTGATGTTATTCTGATTTCTGTTTTTATTGTGCCTACTTCTTCCTGTTGTGTTCAAGAACTTTTGGAGCACTATCTGACGTATAAAAAAAAAAGATAAGCTCTATATTGAATTGACAGAATATTTAAATTAGCAATATTCGGTAATTTTCTGCGCATAGGTGTTGGATTAATAAATGAAAAGTTAAATGAACAAATGTATATAATTTGCGTGTATTCCCGGGCAGTGCTGGTGCACTTCCTTCTGCGGCCTTGTCCTTTACTCGACCACGTGCTCGCTTTAACTTACTACTCTAACCGGTTAAAACTAATACATTCTGCGTCCGTACCCTCCGTATCTGCGTGGTGGTCCTCCCCTCCGGCTGTACATGGAGTCCGGCGGTCGTCCGTAACGGGCCATCTGCACGCGCAGCTCCCGCCCATCGAGCAGCGCGCCGTCCATGGCGTCCATCGCGTCCTCGGCGTCGCGCTTGTCGAGGAACCGCACGAATGCGAAGCCCCGGCTCTCCTTGGTGTACCGGTCCCGGGGAATGTAGACGTCTCCCACGCGGCCGTACTTCTCGAAAACTCGTCGAAGAGTCTCGGGAGAGGTTCGGTAGGTCAGGTTGTCCACTTTCAGGGAGGTCATCCCCTCGACGTCTGGCGGCGGCCTACCGTAGCTCATTTTGCAGGTTTACACTAGGCGACGAAACAAACCGACTAAGAATGTAAAACTTCACACACTACACTGCAAAAAAATTTAAACTTTTGGCTTTTAATACTCAAACTATGACTGAAACAAAACTCAGACCTTTTCCGACTATTTTCCTCTGTGGGCTTCGACTGAACCGCGCCGCTTTTCACGTGAAATGGCGGCAGCGAAGCTTCCTTTTCTAGTTCTTCTTTGCGCCAGTGTTGTCCTCCTCTGATTGGCTGTTGGGCCTCCCGCCTCCTCCGCTGTAATTACGACACCGCCCCCTCCCGGCTGGGAGTGGTACCGCACGG